CTGCCGGCTCCTCCGCAGGGTATTTCGGCCGCAGCCCGCCTGCCGCCCCAGCCGAGCCAGGTACTCCCGCCGGGCCGGGGTCTGCCCTGGGAGGGAGGCAGGGGCTCCTCGCCAGGATCTGGGCGCGGAGCTCCGCCGCTGCTCGCTGGCTGGGTGGCTGGAGGCTTGGCATTGAATCTCTCAGAGCCACGGTTTTCCATGTAAATGTAAGGGTTGGACTATTCGCTCTGTAGGATACTGATGAGGATTTACTTAAAGCGTTTTCCTCGTTCAGAACGCATTGTTAGTTGCCCGAGAGTCAGCTCCGACTCATGGGGGCGTCATGTACAACGGAACTAAACGTTGCGGGTCCTGAGCCACCTCCACATTGCTGCTATGCTCCAGTCCATTGTTGCGGCTACTGTGTATTTCTAGTGCTTTCCAACCTAGGGGGCTCATCTTTCAGTACTATATCTGATAATATTCTCTTTTGAGAATACTGGGTTTTCATTAGCTTTTTTGGGAAGTAGATGGCCAGGCCTTTCTTCCTAGTCTGTCTTAATCTGCAAGGTCTGCCTAAGCCTGCCCATCATGGGTGACCCTGCTGGTATTTGAAATACTGATGGCATGGCTTCCAACATAATAGCAACACACAGGCCATCACAGTACCAAAAACTGACCGACTGGTGGTGTCCAGAATGCATAAACGGTTGTAATTCAGTAGCCACAAATGGTCCAGAGAAGCCTGATGACCTACACCCATGAGAGGCGGCTGTGGGGCTGGGTAGGAATTGTGGATGTTTCAGGACTTGGAGGCTTTTGCAGACGGTTTTTCAGCACCGAGGCTGCTATACCCTTTAGGATCCAAAAAAACAAACCCATTGCCATCGAGTTGATTCCGACTCATAGCGACCAGTTAAAACGCTGTTTTACAAATAAGGTCTATTTCCCAGAGTGCCACCTGCCTCCTTGGTGTATGGAGGTGCAAGAGAGTGGGCAGGGTAGGGACTGCAGGGGAAGCAGGATCCCAGGACCCCAAACAAGCCATCCTCAGTCACTCCAAGGCTTATTATGCATAGTTCTGAGTCTAAACAAGCCATTCCCCCAGCAGCCCTCCTTTTGATGGCAAGTCTTCAAGGATCCCTCGTCCCTATGAAGGACCAAGCACGACTGCGCATGGCTGGGAGTTTAGCCAAACCGCATGAGTGTCTGGATAAACAATGCAATAATTTGGCAACGAGTATCCAGGTCTGTAATGTGCACACCTGACATCTGGTCACCACATCTCTCAGCAGCTAGGGCAAAGGCATTGGCTAACTGGAGGAGCAGTGGTGAGGGCTGGGGTGTTTATTCATTTCTTAAGTTATACAAAAATTACCAATTCTGAAAGTAATTCATGGTTACTAGAAAAAGTTGGAAGATGCAGAAAGGTATAAAGAAGAATTAAAATTGCCCATGACGTCATTACTCAATGCTAGTTACTACTAACCTTGAGTAGCATTTCCTCCCAGGCTTTTTTCCATGCTTGCACACACACACACACACACACACGCACACACACAGAGGCTTCTTTCTATGCTTGTATACACACACACACACACATACACACACAGCCAGCATCAGACCATCTATACAGTTTTGAGGCCAATGTGGCACATTTATATGGTGGATTTTCAGGCAGCTTTTAAAAACGAGGCTTTCTGATTTTTACTTATGTTCTCTTAAAGGAACTTATCTCTTTAGAATTATACATCTTATAATGCTACTATATAATATACATAGTTCCCACTCACTGCTGTCGAGTCTATTCTGACTTAGTGACCCATAGGGTTTCCAAGGCCGTAAATCTTTATGGAAGCAGATTGTCACATCTTTCTCCCATGGCGCAGGCCAGTGGGTTCCAGTTGCCCACCTTTCAGTTAGTAGCTGAGTGCTTAACCACTGTGCCACCAGGGCTCCTTTGTAGGAGGGACCTGGAGAAGGACATCATGCTTGGTGAAGTAGAGGGTCAATGATAAAGAGGAAGACCCTCAACGACATGGATTGACACAGTGGCTGCAACAGTGAGCTCAAACATAGCAACGATTGTGAGGATGGCGCAGGACCCAGCAATGTTTCGTTTTCTTGTACTCAGGATCTGTATGAGTTGGAACCGACTCGATGGCACCTAACTAACAATATACATAGTTAATAATGTGATGTTAATATAAATAGAGTCACTACTTTTTCTGATTAATAAAAGCAACATGTGCTCATTCATTGTATCCCAACATCACAGATGTGTATAAAGTAGAAAAAGAGAGACCTTCGTAATACCCTCTAACCCCATCTCCCACACGCACACTCCAGACAATATGGCAACGAAAATGGAACACAGCACAAGCTTTCAAACTAGTGCGATGCACCCCTAGAGTGAGTCTCCCTACGTGGAGACAAGTGTGGGGTGTGACTATTGGAGGGGTGTTCATGCATATGCGGCAGAGAAGGGTTGTGTGTCCTCTATTCTCTGTAGTTCTCCAGGAGAGCACACTCGAAATCCCAAGCCAGAATCAACTCTTTCTTAATGCCTTCAGGCAATTTGGTCATTTTTTCCTCTTCAAACGCAACTTGTTTTAAAATAAATAAAACCAGTATGTATATTTTATAAGTCTTTCTCTTCCAATAATACTCACTGAGATATTTATGGATACAAATCAGGTCTTGGATTTGTCTTAAAATAATGGTGGGGCTAGACGGTATAGTTGAAACAAGATTGGCCGTAAGTTAATAATTGTTAATTGGGTTGAATCTGGGTGGGGAGCCCATGGTTATTATTCTCTCTACTTTCGTATGTTTAAAATTTTCCATGTTGAAAATTTAGGAGTCCCTGGGTGGCGCAAATGGTTAAGCCCTTGACTACTAGCCAAAAGGTTGGCAGTTTGAACCCACCCAGCAGTGCCTCGGGAGACCGGCCTGGTGTTCTGCTTCTGAAAGGTCACAGCCTTGAAAACCCTATGGAGCAGTTCTACTCCGCACACATGGGGTCGCCGTGAGTTGGAATCGACTGGACGGCAACTATCAACAACAAATCAAGTGCTTTAAAAAAAGCTGAAGTCACTAAAACTAGAGGGTGATGAGCAGTGCTGCTGGCCTGGAGGCCAGCGACGTAGGGTCTATTCTCTGCCCACCCAGCGCCTGTCACGTTTCTACTCAGCTTTTGAGGGCTGCCTCTTCCAAGAGCTTCTGTTTGGGGTGGTAGCTTTGTCTCAGCTCCCCTTGTATCTTTCTGTCTTTGTTGGGCGAAGGCAAGAGATGACAAGAAGTGGGGAGGGTGACCATGGTGGGGAGATTTGGTCTGACCAACTAACCCCCCAATCCCCTTTCACCACAGACACCCCCTCCTTGCCTGGAAGCCAGGAGACATGGCCCTGGCTTCTAGCTTTGCCTCTGACTCAGTGTGGATCCGTGAGCAATTCACCCCCATCTCTGGACCTCAGTTCCCCCACGCATCAAATGAGGGTGCTGGTAACTCGAAAGACTAGATCGGAACCTTAGGGGACAGTGAGTTTATGTTAATGAGGGAGGACAAACTCAGTAAAGGAGGGTGAGAATGGTTGCACAACTCAAAGAAAGTAATCAGTGTCACTAAATTGTACATGTAGAAACTGTTGAATTGGTGTATGTTTTGCTGTATATATTCTCAACAATAATAACAAATAAAATTTAGGAAAAAAAATGAGGGTGTTGGCAGAGAAGACCCCAAGATCCCTCGCGGGCTCTCAGATACTAAGATCTCATAATAGCTGTTTCCTTTTGCAGTCCCGTAACACAGGATGACACCAAGCTTCACAGCCTCAGCAAGCCTGGGAATGAGTCTTCCCCACCCCTCACGGGGACGGTACAGGTCAGTGGTCACACGGGTGTGGGAATCCCCTTCCCCCCTCGCCCAGGCAGATGCAGGCTGAGCAGTCTGTTGGAGGCTGGGCTGAAGGGCAGAGGAACTGGGGTTTGTGCAGCAAGTGGGGAGCCCCGGATGGGGGGCACAGGTGGGAGTAAGGAAGGGCTTTGGAAGAGCAGGATGATCCATGGTGGTCGGGAGTGGTGGTCCCCAAGGTCTGTTGGCACCTGGATGATTTGCCTGTGTGGGCTGGCAGGCACAGGTAGGGGGTGATTCCAGACTGTTCATGGAGCGAGGAGTGGGACGCTTCAAAATAATCCCAGGCTCAGGGGCTGAGCCTTTGGTCCCAGCCTGTATCCCACAAGCTCCATCTTCCCTAAGTGCTTTTGACCTCAGTGTTCCAGAGTGGTGGCAGAGAGGTGAGTGGAGGGGGAGAGGAGATGGTTTTCATATTCTTAAATGCCTTCAGGGAAGGCAGTGGTACATTCTTCCTCGTCCTGATTTCTGTTCTCTGTGGTATTGACTGCGACAGTAGTCTCCATTGCATCTAACCTTAGTCCCTCCTGCTGCAGTTCCTCTGAGGAAGCATTTGGCAGGGGTCTGGGTGAGGAGAGAAGCCTGGCTGATGGCCTGGGCACCCGGAGCTCTTAGCAGACACTGGCCCAGGCCGCTGAGCTACAAGGAAGGAAGGAGGGGCATGGGGCATTGGCCTGCTCTGTATGCCCACCCATAGCTCCCAACCCCACCCAAAACCAAAGAAAAGCCCAGGGACTGGGAGAAACCCATGGGGTCCTGGGGTTGGAGACATTTGGAAAACCCTGTTTTTTTCCTCTCCCTCCCTGTCAGAAGTCTCCAGAATCCCAGGTCAAGCTGGGCGTGAAGCTGGGCACACCCCCATCGGCCTGCGCAGGGCATGTGAGGATCAAAAACTGGGGCAATGGGATGACTTTCCAGGACACACTTCACCACCAGGCCAAAGGGGTGAGAAGTCTGGGGCTTCAGGGAGGACCCCCTTATCCCAGGCTGATGAAGCCACTGGAACCCTTTGTGGACCAAACAGATGCCGCCTCCCCCACCCCAGCCCCACCCCCTTTCCTCCTCTCAAACCAAACAATCATCTGCTTGGGCGAAGGGAATTGGGAACACAAACTCACATTCTTCACAAATTACAGTAGAAGTAAATGATGTCAGCTCTCTGTTAACCACCTTAACGGGTAGTGGCTAATCCACAAGATCAGACAAACTATTGCATGTACAAATTAATGTCTTTCTTAGAGAGACAGATTTCAGCATAGTGTCAGGAAGAATTTTCCAAGAGAAGTGCCTGAAGCCACACTGAACTACATCATGAGGTAGTGAGCTCCCTGTCTCTGGAAGTATTCAAGTGCTCTTTGTTAGGGAGATCGGAGAGGGGTTCATGCATCAACTGAGGGGTTAGACTGAGTGCCCTTTAAAGCTCCTTCCTATCTTCTAAGTTTCTTATTCTAACTTTAGAATGCATTCTACGGTTTTAAAGTAGAAAAGAATTAAACATTTCAAGACCATGAAAGCAGGATGATTTTCCACACCTCTCAGAAACCACCACAGTTAACCTTTGGGTGTACTTCCTTCCAGTGTTTCTTCTATGCCGTCCTGTGACTTTGGGATTTACACCTGCTCATTCCTTTTCACTTTTGCTGTACACCTTAGTGTGTTCCCACAGGAGGCAACATCAGCCTCTTTAAATGAGAAGGCAGTTGAACTGTTCCCAGGGACTGAGCTGTTGACTTTGCTCTGGGTCTGAGGCCAGCTGGGGAGCAGGGCCAGAGACTGAGCCCCAGGGTGGGAGAACCAACCTCACCTCACACCCACTGGGGTACAGTCAGTAGAGGAGAAGACGTTTGACTGGAGAGAAAGACTGGTGGACCCCAAGGAGGAGGTGGCACAGGGGTGGAGAGCAGAGTAGCCAGAGTGAAAGGAGGTGGTCAGAAGAGCTGGCTGCTGGGAGAGGATGGACACAAACACCTGCTCTATAGGCCAAGCGGCCTGCTCTCACCTCATGCCTCCTCTTTCCAGGATGTTCCTTGCAAGTCCAGGTCTTGCCTGGGGTCCCTTATGAGCCCCAAAAATTTTACCAAAGGACCGAGAGACAAGCCTACCCCCCCGGACGAGCTTCTACCTCAAGCAATCGAATTTGTCAACCAGTATTACGGCTCCTTCAAAGAGTAAGGCTTGCTTCCTGCAACCTCCGCTGGGTTCTCCCCTGTCTCCAGCTATTTTCCTCTGACCCTAGCCCCCTTTCTTTCCTCAATTCCTAGTGGTTCCAGGGCTAAAGCCTAGTTTTCCAAGAAAAAAGATCTCAGAGTAGGTTTTCATAGTTGTGGGACAAAGAGGCATAGCAATAGTGGTTAAAGGGTGAGTTGGGAGTATAACTATTAGAGTTTGAATTCTGATTCCATCACTAACTGGTTCTATAGATATCCTTGGGCAATCTGCTTACCCTCTCTGTGCCTTGTATTTCTCATCTGTAAAATAGGGATGATAATGATAGAACCTGGCTTATGAGATTGTTGTGGGCAAGTTACCTCTCTGTGCCTCCATTTTCTTGCCTGAAAATAGTGATAATGAATAGTATCTACCATACAGGGGCTTATAAAGATTCAATCAATTAAAGTATATGAAGTGCTAGGAATAGTGCCTCGCCTATAGCAGAATTAGCTGTTACTGAGTGTTTAGAACAACTGTTTTGGCCAAATAAAATACGCTTAATTTAAAAGAAGTCCTGGTGGCACAGTATTTAAAGTGCTCGGCTGCTAACTGAATGGCTGGCAGTTCAAACCCACCAGCCTCGCTCTGTGGGAGAAAGATGTGGCAGTCTGCTTCCATAAAGATTTACAGCCTTGGAAACCCTACGAGGCAGTTCTACTCTGTCCTGTAGGATCACTATGAGTTGGAATTGACTTGACAGCAATGGGTTTATGTAAGTTAAAGACCAGTAAAAAATCCCCTTGCCATCGAGTTGACTCTGACTCATGGAAACCCCATACGTGTCAGAGTAGAACTGTGCTTCGTAAGGTTTCATGGCTGATTTTTCGGAAGTAGATCACCAGGCCTTTCTTCTGAGGTGCCTCTGGGTGGACTCAAACTGCCAACCTTTTGGTTAGCAGCCAAGCACATTACCGTTTGTACCACTCAGGGACTCCTCATAACATTTTTTAGTGCCTCAGAAATGTGACTTTATGAAAACAGTGGTAAAATATAAAACTACAGGCATTGGGTGCAAACATAAAAAAATAATCATTTTTTATGTATTCGCATGTTAACACTACTAAGGGTAATGAGGATCATTACTGTTTTCATGCTTGGGTGCAGAGGGGGTACAGTATTGCTAAAAGCTTTTCTGGGAGAGAGGCCTTGCGGTGGTGGGGTAGCAGCACCCTCACCCAGCACTTCCTTATGCCACGGGTGTCCTTGAGGATAAATATTATCAAGTATTTTGTCTTTGTGCTTTTTTTTCTTTTAATCAAGAAGAGATGTCGAGACACTCTTCATCCGCAGAAAGGCCATTTTGTTCTGCGTTTTTCACTGTCCTTAATCAGGAGTTCATTCCTTGAATAGTTTCTCTGTGGCCATTTCAAAAGCCTTTGGTGGTGATTGGTAATCTCAAGGCTTTGCTCTGCATGTGTGTGTGTGCGTTGTGTGCTGTGTTGTGTGTGTTTCAAAGCCTTTCTGACCGAATCCCTCCTTTTGGGATATTTTCAAAGTCTGAGAGGGGAGGGGAGAGGAAAAGCAAGTTGACAAATCTCATATGGAATTTCTGGAGGAGCAGGGCTGTGCTGAGGCTGAGAAACAGCGTGATTTAGGAGCCTGTGGCGTCTGACCACGCTGTGGGGAGCGCCTCTCTGTGCTGGCCCCTGAGTCCCCAGAGCTGGGCTCCAGGGTGGCCTGCCGGGCTTCCAGGAAAACATAAGTGGGCACTCAATGTGTCTGGGCTTGCAATCCCCCTGGAGCGGAAGGTGGTATTTCAAGCAGTTAAGGTCCTGGGCTCGGCATCATGGCGGCCGAGTCTGAGTCCTGGCTCTGCTCTTGCCCGTGCTAATGTTTCTGGGCCTGGTATTCAACCTCCCAGAGCCTAGATGCCCTTGACTATAAAATAAATGCAAAAATACCTCCCTCACGGACTCAGTGAGACCCCTCAGTCATAGGAAGTACTGGGTACCCAGTAGCTGCTGTGAAAGGGCTTGGCTTGTCCTCTCTTAACCATGAGAAGGCGGACAGGCACTCCCCCTTCCTCGGAGGTCTGAGGAGGACCACACACCCTGCTCAAGCTGAGAAGAATACATGGTTAAAGAAAAACCCTGGAAATATCAGGGTTTCAAACAGGCCAGGGCTGGTCACGTAATTTGCAGGGCCCAGTGCAAAATGAAAATGCAAGCTCTTTGTTCAAAAATAATTAAGAATTTCAAGATGGTGACAGCGGAGCATAAACCAAGTGTGGGACCCTTCTACACGCAAAGCTGTGTGTGACTTCGCAGGTGACTTGGAGCCAGCCCTGGCAGGAGCAGTCTCTCTCTAGTGGGGGACATCTTGCCCTCTTGGCATCCTATCTGAGTTCCTGCTTCTGTGGATTGCATTAATCCCCATTTAAGGCCATCTCATTGTTGATCTTCCTGATGTCTTCCTGTGTCCCAGGGCAAAAATAGAGGAACATCTGGCCAGGGTGGAAGCAGTAGCAAAGGAGATCGAAACAACAGGAACCTACCAGCTGACAGGGGATGAGCTCATCTTTGCCACCAAACAGGCCTGGCGCAATGCCCCCCGCTGCATTGGGAGGATACAGTGGTCCAACCTACAGGTGACTTCCTTAGACCCAAGTGGGAGAGGGAGCTGGGGAGGTGGGCAGGCCCTGAGCAGATGACTCGGAACAGCCTAACAGAAGCTGTACCCAGAGTTGTGCTCAGAGCTGCGCCCAGAGGTTCCCAAAGCCTTGAGTTCTCACTTCACACCCCTGAATATGAGAAGGGATTATAGGACCCCTCTAGATGTCTACAGGTCCCTAGATGGTGCAAACAGTTGACATGGTTGGCTGCTAACTGAAAGGTTGGAGGTTTGAGTCCACCCAGAGGTGCCTTGGAAGAAAGGCCTGGTGATCTGCTTCTGGAAAACCAGCCATTGAAAACCTTGTGGAACGCAGTTCTACTCTGACACACATGGGGTTGCCATGAGTCAGAAGTGACTTGACGGCAACTTTTTTTGTTTTTTAATTTCTTTTTAAAAATCTAAATGTCTAGAATCCTATTTCAGCACCAGGATTTCTGACTGACCTTTCTCTCTTGTGTTAAAACTGGGAGACTAAGCACCATCAAAAAACCAAACAACCTTGTTTCTATTATTAATGAGGTCCTGGTGCCACGAGAGAGGTTGTTTACCTTAAATGTTTGAATTCTTGGCTCCTAGAGAACATTTTATTTATCCTAGCTCCTAGGCCATCTTTTCACTGGGGGATCATTTATTGTTGGATAATATCAAAGGCACTTGACAGAGAAATCGATTAGAAATGCCAATGAAACCAACTCTGGCTGTGTCATTTGTGCCAGAGGCCAGCTTGTGATATGCTCACGTGTTGCAAGGCAACTAGGCTGGGGCTACAGGAATCTCGATTCATGGCACTTTAAAATCAGGTTTTCTTGGGATTTTGTTTTCTGTTGGAGTCTTCTAAGCAGATTTGCCCTCAGAGGCAACACCTAGGAGGGCAGGAGAAAGGATGGCCAGGGCAGCTGTGAGGTGGGAAGAGTCGATGCCGAGAGAAGAATGCATCCCTCTCCCTGGTGTTTGGAGTCCCTGGGTGGTGCAAACAGTTAACGTGCTCAGCTGCTAACCAAAAGGTTGGAGGTTGGAGTCCACTCAGAGGTACCCTGGAAGAAAGGCCTACCATCTACTTTTGAAAAATCAGCCATTGAAAACCCTATAGAGCACAGGTCTACTCTGACACACATGGGGTGCCATGAGTTGGAATTGACTCAGTGGCAACTGATTTTTTACCAGGTATTTGGGTGTTGGGTGTTTAGGCTGCTCCCCACAGTTTGGAGGGCTGGAGGCCTCTGTCCACACAGTCCTTGATGGGCTTGGTCCTGGTGGGGTGTGTGCAGGTCTTTGACGCCCGGAGCTGTACCACTGCCAAGGAAATGTTCGAGCACATTTGCAGACATATACGCTATGCCACCAACCAGGGCAATATCAGGTGAGTTCGCCTTTCCCGAGGCTGCAGCTGGGGTCCACCTGCCCCAGAGTCTTAGCCAAAAGATTCAGGTGGGTTTGTTTAGGGGAGGCGTCTTGGGCTCCAGGACTAACCAGGGAGTAAGAGAAAGGTGAAAAACTCAGGCCTCTTCGGGGGCCTTAATAGTGAGCCCAACCTCTGTGAGCTTAGCCTGTGTCCACAGCCGGCTTTCTGGTTTCTGACTTGGAGCCGTTTGGAGGGAGTGGGGGATCTTTAAGAAGTCACGTCTTCACTGATCAGAGTTAGGGCTCTCCACTTTTTGGGGAGGATGGGAGGTTGGTTTCCAGCAGATGGCTCTTGTGGGTGTCTGTCTTCGACGTGGGAGACCTATTGCCCATCAGTACACCCCCTCCCGCACTTCTCCCTACCCTAAGAAGCCAAGGCTGATAGAGCTGAACAGCTCATTCAGGCATTCATTCATTATTTGTTCAATAAACACTTAGTGCCCACCTAATAGGGACCCAACACGGGGCTAGGTGGCGGGTGGGAGGGGAATGATGCAGGGGAAGGCTGCAGAGGTGACTAAGACCCCAAGACCCTGCTCCAGCCCTCTATGAATCCAAGCACTCACCTAACTCCACTGCTAGGCAAGAAATGTACAGCTAGGGAAAGGGCCACGGAGGGGCCTCTAACCCCAACCAAGGGATGGGAGGGCTTCCTAGAGTGGGAGGTCTCTATGCTGGTTTCGAAAAAAGGGAACAAGCTGGAGGAGGAAGGAGGAAGAGGATATGTCAGGAAATGGGGCAGGTTACACGGAGGCTGGAGAGAGCTTGGCTCACTGGGGAGCTGCGGGTGGTCCAGTCTGCTTGGGTACAGGGGGCTGGTGATCAGGAAGAGTGGAGGAGGAGGTGGGGCCAGCGGGGAGGGGGTAGCTGGGAGCCCCCACAGGGCCACATAGTAAACCGCACTGTCCTGTCCTGGGGAAGGTCAGCCATCACGGTGTTCCCCCAGCGGAGTGACGGGAAGCACGACTTCCGGGTGTGGAACTCTCAGCTCATCCGGTATGCTGGCTACCAGATGCCCGATGGCACCATCATAGGAGACCCTGCCTGTGTGGAGTTCACCCAGGTACCCGGCCAGCCTGGGCCCTGGCTCTTTGGACAAGGAGCCCAGTGGAGGGCAACAGAGAGGGGTCTGGAGGACTTAGGGTGCCTGGATCTGTGGACTCACTAGGCCTGTCTTGCCCCTCAGCTGTGCATTGACCTGGGCTGGAAGCCGAAGTATGGCCGCTTTGACGTGGTGCCTCTGGTCCTGCAAGCGGATGGCCATGATCCTGAGCTCTTTGAAATCCCACCGGACCTAGTGCTTGAGGTGCCCCTAGAGCATCCCAAGTAAGTGGGTTGGGAGTGCTGGGGGTGTGAGTCGACAGGCATGACCCCCATTTCCTATGCGAGACCTCTCCCTGACCTCCCCCCAAGCCAGGCAGCAGCAGTGACGCCTGGAGGGGCTGGCTTTCAAGCCTGCCTGTCTCCCTTGCTTTCTGCAGTGAGTCTGTGCTTTCACATCAGGTATAAGGGTATGTGGATGGTGAGGGGGAAGGAGAGGCTTAGATAGATGGACCCCTAGAGGTTAGAAAGCCGTGACCTCCGGAGAAGAACCCTTGAAAGCCTCCAGGTTTTCACGATGAGCTGCCCAAGACTTTTGCCTTCCTGCCAACTCGCTTAGCTGTCCCTCTCCTGACTGTGGTAGAATTATAGAGCTCCGGTGAGTTCAAGAGCTTATCCAGTTCAGCCCCTGCTCCAGGCAGCGCCCGTAGTTACAAAAACACTGCCATGTATTGAGACTTAACTATGTACCCGGCATTGGGCTGGATTTTTTGTCCCTTGAATATGCTGAACTCAGTCCTACCTCAGAGCCTTTCCACTTGCTATTTCCTCTGCCAATGTGTCCTTCTCTCAGATTTTTTCATGGTTCATTGCTTCTTGTCAGTGAGGTTATTCCCTAAAATGTCACCTCCTCTGAGAAGCTTCTCCTGACCACCAAAGCTAGAGTAGACACTCCGACCCTTGCCTAACACATCACTTTATTTTATTTTCTTGTTTACCTTTTTATATTCTTGAGTCTATCCACTAGACTGTCAACTCCTTGAGAATAAGGATCTTGCCTTTCTTGTTCACCAATATATCCCCAACACCTACCAGGGTGCCTGGTACATAGTAGGTACTCAATATTTGTGGGATAAATGTATATAAAAATGAAGGAACATGAATTAATTCTTTTACCTTCATAATAATCCCACGAGTTCGATGCTATTATCTCTATTTTGCTGATGAGGAAACTGAGGCTCAGAGAGGCTAAGTAACATCCCAGGGTCACACAGCAAGTAGTCAATGAGGCAGGAGTTGAACCCAGGCTTTCTGATACTAGAGTCCTTAACCACTATGTTATGTTGGATTCTCAGCATTTAGCTCAGTACTTGGCACATACGTGATGCTTAATACATGTTACCATGAATGAACAAGTGATTGAATGCATAAATAAATGAATTGGGAGAGTGTTCCCGATTCACCTCTCCACATGGGATTAACTTAAAGATCAACGCCTGGAAAAGTTTTCTTGGTTGACTCTTTTCTAAAGAGTTTTTTTTGGCGGGGGAGGTTGTGGGCAAAAATGAAAGCCCCAATTGTAACTGGCTCTGCCTTGGGCCAGGTACGCGTGGTTTCGGGAGCTGGAGCTGAAGTGGTACGCCCTGCCTGCAGTGGCCAACATGCTGCTTGAGGCGGGTGGCCTTGAGTTTCCAGGGTGTCCCTTCAATGGCTGGTACATGGGCACGGAGATCGGGGTCCGGGACCTCTGCGATGTCCAGCGCTACAACATCCTGGAGGTAATGAGGGCCGCCCAGCTGGGCTGGCTGAGGTGTGGGCTTGGGGATGGGTCACAAGGACTGACTCGGCCTCGTTTCTCTGCCTTGGCAGGAAGTGGGCAGAAGGATGGGCCTGGAAACGCACAAGCTGGCTTCCCTTTGGAAAGACCGGGCTGTCATTGAGATCAACATCGCTGTGCTCCACAGTTACCAGGTACATCTGAGGTTTTGTGCGTCTGAAGACTTTCTGGTTAGAGGGTTCATATTTCTGATTTTCTGCATGCATGAAAGTTTAGTGTTGTTTCTATGTAGGATTGTATGTGGAGTAGAAGGTTCTGAAGCTTCTTAGGCCTAGGGCTACCGTTGCACACCCAGCCCACCGCTCACACCACACGTGGTCTGGACCCACCAGAGAGATGAACTGAAAGCATCTCCTGTCCACAGTTACCTTTGTTCCTTATATAAAGAAGCATCTTACAGTGTGTCGGATTAGAAACCTCTACAGATCAGATCACACTGCCCCACCTTCTCTTGGAGTGGCATATAATTAGGCAATAACTGATTTTTCTGTAGTATCCTTAATTTGAGCCTAGTGGCACAATGGTTAAGCAATTGGCTGCTAACTGAAAGGTTGGTGGTTTGAACCCACCCAGTGGCTGTGCGGGAGAAAGACCTGGCAATGGGTTTAGAGATGATTTTAGCACATGCTCCCCATGCTGGGGCAACAGATGGACAATGGAGATGCTGACAAGCTGGCGGGAGAGGGGAGAGCCTGCCAGGGCCACTCCCCAGCTGGAGGGATGGGAGTTGAGGGGGGCCTCTGAGAACGAGCTCAGATGGGACAGGAAGAGCCCTCCCGGGGCTGGCCCGGCTCAGGAAGGGCTGGCCGTGGACCACACATCCCGACCCCTGGGGCCTCCCAGCACCAACCCTGACACTGTCAGGATGCGGATGTGTCCCAGATAACTCCGCTGACCCCCAGCCGCCTCCTGACCAACGCTGCCTTGCCCCTCTCCTGCTCAAGAGTCTCCAGGACTTCCTTGTCACCCGCCTTCAGGATAAACTTCAAAAGCCTTGGCCTTGTTGCCTCATCTGTAAAATGAGGATAGTAATATACCTCCCTCAGTAGGTTATTGTACAAATTAAATGAAAACCCCATGCAAAACGTTTAGCTGCACTGCCTGGCCCATAGAGAATCCTCAGTCAGCATTAGTTGTTGGTGTTATTATTATTGTTATCATCATCATAGCTGCTGTTGGCAGCTCCTGAGCTTCAAACTGGTCTGGTGTCCTGGAGTTGCATTTGTGTGCTGTATATAAAATAAGTGGGGAAAGTGGAAGGTCAATTAAATAAAGGTCTGGACACACTGGGTGCTTGGTCAGCTGGCTCTGTTGTGGCTCCTGACCTTGGTTCAGGCAGCTTCCTCCTCCAGGAGTGCCCTCGCCCTGGCTAACTCACACCCTTCCCTCAAGGCTCACTCTTAAAGCTTTCCCTGAAGTTCCCCGTCTCTCCCCCGCCCCCCTCCCACCACCACCCCGGGTTAGGCTTTCTCCTCTGCCCTCCCTCAGTTCTGTCTGCTCGCCTCCATCATATTTCTACCAGGGGATGCAGGAACAGCTGACTCTCTCCTGCTTTTCCTGCGGTTGCTGTCATTGTTAGCAGCAGCTCTCGAGTCAGCCTCCAACTCATGGCGACCATGGGCACCAAAGAGCAAAATGCTGCCCAGTCTGGTGCCATCCCTATGACTGTTGCTGACTGGACCGTTGTGATCCATAGGGTTTTCCTTGGCTGATTTTCAGAAGTAAATCACCAGGCCTTTCTTCCTACTTTGTTGGAAGTGCTGCTGAAACCTGTTCAGTGTCATAGCAACATGCTGCACTGACAGGCAGGTGTTGGCTGGGCATAAGGTGCATTGGCTGGGAATTGAATCTGGGTCTCCCACAGAGAAGGTGAGAATTCCAGCACTGAACCACCGATGCCGCTCTCTGCTTCCCCTAGTTAGATTAAAATCTAGTGTGTCTTTCCCCTCTGTGATGCCAGTGCCTTATGCGGTGCCTGGCAGATAGAAAAAATAGCAGCTGACGTTTACTGAGCACTTCCTACGCTTTACTTGTATGAACGTATTGCCTCCTTTCAATAACCTCAGGAGGCAGGAACTGTTATTATCCCCATTTTACAGATGAGGAAACTGAGGCTTAGTTAACTGACTCAAAGTCACATGTCTCAGAAGAGGCACAGGCCCCAGGATGTGAACCACTATGTTAAACAAATATCTTTTGTCGGAGTGAGCTGTCCCAGATGTTGAGGAGATGGCTTTGCCGGAGCATTCCGATTAGGCTCAGACTCTACAGCTTCTAATTATAGGATGTGGGACTTTGGGATGGTTTGTCTCCTATACACTACACTTCCCCCAATGCTTCCGATCTCTCCACAGAGGCGTTCACTTCCTTCTCAGCAGGGAGGGCCTCAACTCTGAGGAAGGAACTCCTGGAACTTTCTATGACAAGTGACTGGGATAGACTTTTCTTTACCTGCCAAAGGGTCCTGTGTTTTCAGTTATCAGCATCCAGAGAAAGCCATTAGTTGGGGATTTGGGGAGACTTATGGGTATGAACTGAGAAGCTGGACACTGCCCCAAGAGGGTAAAAAAAAAAAACAACAAAAAACAAAACGCATTGCTGTCGAGTGGATTCCAACTCATAGTGACCCCACAGGACAGAGTAGAACTGTCCCATAGGGTTTCCAAGGAGCGGCTGGTGGATTTGAACTGCGGACCTTTTGGTTAGCAGCTGAGCTCTTAACCACTATGGCACCCGGACTCCAGAGGGTCCAGGGGAGGCAAACTTACTGTGCCCTAATGGTGATGCCCCCGTGTGACCTGTGGGCTGACCATGGCGATTGTGTTTCTAGGGCCCCTTTAGAGACTCTGAAAATGCCTTCCGTGTGGGTACTTCCATGCAGCAGGGGAAGAGGGGAGGGGCCAGAGGAGCTTTCTCTCCCATTTTCAAGATTGCCAGGCATTCCCGCATGCCACCTGGGAGGCCTGCAGCCTACTCTCCGCTCTCCTGATGCCCCGCCCCTTGCCTTTACTCCCCTTCTTGCCTTCCTCTGATTTAGAAACAAAATGTGACCATCATGGACCACCACTCAGCTTCAGAGTCCTTCATGAAGTACATGCAGAATGAATACCGGTCCCGTGGGGGCTGCCCGGCCGACTGGATTTGGCTTGTCCCCCCGATTTCTGGGAGCATCACCCCCGTGTTTCACCAGGAGATGTTAAACTATATCCTGTCACCTTTCTACTATTATCAGGTAAGGAGGGGTCTGCCTCTCCTTTCCTTGGGAGCTCAGGCGTAGAGACAATGTGAGTGTGTGCCTGTGTGAGTGTGCCTGTGTGCGTGTTTGTGCTTGTGTGCGTGCTCACCCTTGCAGGGTATTTGGGAGGAGGATCAGGGAACATGGGAATATATTTTTAATGCTTCTCAGACTCCACTCAAGGAAATGAACAACTTTTGCCCATTTCCTCAGAGGGTGGGACTCAAGGACATGCCTTTTATTGTACGTTGAATGGCCTGTTGCTCTAACAGGGTTTAAGCTCCCAAGGGTGCCCACCATGGCACCTGCTTCCACAGGAGGGGCCAGTAAACAGTCACATAGCATAATGGGGAAGAGCTTGGCCCCCGAGTCAGACATGCCTAGTTTTGATTCTGCCGCTTCCTGGCTGTATGATCTGAGGCGGGTTGTTTCACCTTTCTGAGCCTTATTTTCTCAACTCTACAAGGGATGGGAATTAACCCCATGCTAGGAGGTTGTGCAGATCCCACGAGCTGGCAGGTAACAACTTAGCCCAATGCTCAACCCAGAAAGTACTCCATAATGTTAGCTATTGAAAGAAGTTCATTTTTTTTTTTTTCGTCACAGAGGATTTTGGTTAGAGTTTTATCACTCTGAAGGTGATAAATAAGGTGACTGTATACCCAGGTTGTGCCTGTTTTAATGGCACTTTTATGACTCTGAAAGGTATCCTGGTGTGGACTATACATTACGTAGTCTTTCTGGTGATAACCAGTGGCTGTTGAGTTGATTCTGACTTGTGGAGACGCCCTACGTGTCAGAGTAGAACTGTGCTCCGTAGGGTTCTTAATGGCTGATTTTTCTTCTGAAGCGACTGTGGGTGGACTTGAACTGCCAACTTTTTGGTTAGCAGCCAAGGTCATTAACCATTTGTACCACCCAGTGATAAGACACTAAAAACAAAAGAGAAGTGGGGCCTCTTCCTTCCACGAGAACATTAATGAGAGTAAGAACCAAATGACCACCCTCACATGCCTGGCTTTATGCCGCGGATTGGAGTTACAACTCTGAGGGGGACAGACAGATGCAGCCTGTGAAGCTGGTGTGGGCAGAGGGCCTGCCCACCCTCCTGACCCATGAATGTTGTGAAGACGCTCTTAGCTCTCCAGCATCCCCAACCCAAGCTGAGCCTGGCTACCCCCTGCCAGGACGCTGCCCTGCCTCACAGCTCCCTCCTTGTCTGCAGGTAGAGGCCTGGAAAACCCACGTCTGGCAGGACGAGAAGCGGAGGCCCAGGAGAAGAGAGATTCAATTCAAAGTCTTGGCTAAGTAAGTGTGAGCAGTGAGCATTTATGTCTGAACTGTGGCCCTTCCTTCTAGTCAGCCTCCGCCTCTAGGCCTTGAAGAACAGGGAACAAAAAAGAAAGGTTGTTCTTTGTGGAGTTTGGCTTCGAGAGGTCCAGACACCAATTCCAAGGGTCACCAGCCCGTGTTGCCCAATCGTCTCTGTCCTCCATTTTCCCAAAGGGTCTGAGTAGTGGGCTGAGGGGTGAGGGAGAGGAGAAGGGCCATTATCAGGGTGGATAGCTGGGGAGAAATGTGGGTTGCTTTTCCCTCAGCTGGCCACACTTTGAACCCTGTCCTCCTCCTATTCTCCTGGGGCCCCATTTTCTTCTGGAAGGCTGCCTCAGAACACTGTGTCTGTCTGTCTGTCCACATAGAGCCATGCTCTTCGCCTCTGTGCTGATGCGCAAAGCCATGGCGTCGCGAGTCAGAGTCACAATCCTCTTTGCAACAGAGACGGGAAAGTCAGAAACGCTGGCCCAGGACCTGGGGGCCTTGTTCAGCTGCGCCTTCAACCCCAAGGTACCTGGTTCAGCCAGATGGGTGTCGCTTTCTCTGCCCGCATACAGAGAAGTCTGGGAAGCTGTGAGCTAGGAAAGTTAAGATGGTTTCTCTACCCCTGGGTGACTCAGAGCCTTGAGTGTGATGATGTGCATTATAAATCTGCAATGGAAGGATTGATTTGTCTCCAGGGATCCCCACACTTCATCGAACACACTAAATGATGGTTTTTGTGGTATTCCAGGGAACACAGTTTGAGAAACGCTGTCCTAACACGTGCAAGCCTCAGTATACATGAGCTGCTTTAGATGATTTTACTCACTTTTATTGGACTCCTTTTATACAGGGTTGGGTGCTATATGTGAATGGGGCCAAAGATGAGTAAGATGCAGACAAACAAAACACACAAGGATGACTAAGCCATATGCCTTGGGATAATCACCACATGCTGGGCCAGTGCTGGGCTCTGAGAACACAGCACTGAGTGACACAGACCCAGGCCTCACCCTCAGGACGAGGCAGGAAGGGAAGCTCTACCTCACACACCGTGCTCCGTCCTCCCAACAACCTGCAAGGCAGGGGGGAGTCCTAGTAGTTGTTATTTTGCAGATGAAGAACCTGAGTGTCATAGGTTAAGTGGTTTGTCCAGAGTCACACGGCTTCTGGAAGACAGATGTGACCTTAATGATTTGGGGACATGGCCCTGACCAGTATAACATCAGACAGGATGGGTTGTGATACGTACTAGATAGAGACGTAGGCCCGGCAGGAAGGGTTAGGAATGACTACCAGCAAGGTTAGGAGTTCCTGGGTGGCTCAGATGATTAAGTGCTTAACTAGTAGCTGAAAGGTTGGCAGTTTGAACCCACCCAGAGGCACCTCGGAAGACAGACCTGGTGATCTGCCTGCAAAAGTTCACGGCCTTGAAAACCCTGTAGAGCAGTTCTGCTCTGCACACGTGTGGTCACCATGAGCTGGAATCGACTGGACAGCAACTAACAACAGCAAAGTTAGCCAGGCTGCTGGACAGGTCTTATGGTGCCGGGTCTACCTGATGGCAGCCAGGGGTCCCAAAATGCCAGGGGACTGGTGGGCGAGTCACGCCTCCCTAGACCTGAGATGTGACACCCTTCACCTGAGATAACCTCCAGGCAAAGCATTTGGGTTCCAGAGGCACCAAAGAAATCATCGTTTTTGTTACCTACTGATGCCAATTTTGTAGGTAATATGTCCACAGATTTGGAATTTAAAATAGAAGTGGAAGTGGCGAGAGTGTTTTTGTTTGGGAGATGCAGTATTCTGAAGAATACTAGAACTTGCTGACGTATTCGCTGTGGGATTTGAAGGCGGAGGAGAATCAAGGCAGATTTGTTCAAATCGGTTAATTCGAGGGAGATCAGTTAAGCACTCCCCTCCTCTGTGCCACACCTGTCCTGGGCACCAGGGATCAGAGATAACCAAGGGGACTCCCAGCTGGTGGGGATGGAAGTGCAGGAGGTCTGGGATGGGAGGTGTGGAGGGACCAGACCTGGGAGCTGAGTGAGGGCTGACGTCCACCCTTGGTGCCATCCAGGTTTTCTGCATGGACGAGTACAGGCTGAGCGACCTGGAGAAGGAGCGGCTGCTGTTGGTGGTGACCAGCACATTCGGGAATGGGGACTCTCCTGGCAACGGAGAGGTGGGTGGTCCAAAGTCACGGCGGTCTGAGGGGATGGGTTGGGGCCTGAGAGGACCAAGAAAAGGATCTAAGGGACTCAGTGTGGAGAAGAGGCTGTTTAGAGTGTGTTCAGATCATTCTGGGTTACCCTAGCGTACGCCATTTGCCTGCCTTCTTTATAATTATTTTGTCATATGTGTGTGTCAACTTTCCTATTACATAGTTAATGTTTTTCTGTAAATTGACCTATTGTCATTTTACTCAAAAATTCATGCTTAAAGAGGGCTTTCTATCATTTTCAGAAATTGAAAGTCCGCAAAAAGTAAGTTCAATGAAAACAACAGTTATGGAACTTTAGCTAGATACTGTTGCCTAACAAAGGCCTGCTTTATCTGTTTTTATGAAGAACTGGCAAGTATTAGAGAGGTGTTAAGGCTCCTTTAACAGCCATTTGAGACTCTCTCTCTAATGCTCAGAAGTATGAAAAGATCATTTAAAACGGAGTAACTATGAGGTTGTGGAGAAACTGGAAACCTAGTATTCTATTGCTGGGAATGTAAAATGGTGCCGCCACTGTGGATGTTTGGCAGGTCCTTAAGAAACTAAACATAGAATTACCATATAACCCGGCAATTCCACTACTGGGCATATACCCAGAAGAATTGAAGCAGGGACTCAAACAGATACTTGTATGTGAATGTTCATAGCAGTGATATTCACAATAACAAAAATATGGTAACAGATCAAATGTCCATCAATGGATGAATGGATAAACAAAATGTGGTATATCCATACAATGGAATATTATTCAGCCATAAAGAGGAATGAACTAATGACACATGGCTAAATGAAAGAAGCCAAACACAAAGGCTCATATACTGTGTCATCCTATTTATATGAAATATCCAGAAAGGATAAATCCATAGAGACTGAGCACAGATTGGTGGCAGCCAGGGCTTGAGGGAGGGGGGATGGAGAGAAACTGCTTAACGGGTATGAAGTTTTACTTTTGAGTGATGGAAATGTTTTGGAATTAGATAGAGGTGGTGGTTGCACAACATTGCCAATGTAGTAAGTGCCCCTGAAATGTTCACTTGAAAATGGTTCATTTTATGTTATGTGAATTTTGCCTCAATAGATTATTTTTTTAAGGTAATAACAAGAATAAATTATAAAAAAGGGAAAACTTTCTCATCATTAGTATTATTTCTGCTGGGTCAGGTACCACCTAAAATTAACTTGAGTTCTTAGAAGGTCAGGGTTATTTTAGAGAATATGAGACCAACTGTTGTCATTCTTACCAGGATCCAAACAAGAAGAGAAGCCCACACCTCATTAGGAGACCCTCAGAGATGTCCCACTATAAGGCAGGCCCCTCTGCCACCAGGGCTGGGTGGTCTGGGGGCTGGGCTATACTGGGTCTCCCACCAAGGGTCAGGGCCCACGTGAGTTGCTGAGGCTCAGCTGGAGTGAGAGACAAGCCCTGAACTTGAACTTGAGGCCTGGCCCAGAGGTCCCACGCATTAACCAACTTTCATCTGTGGGTCTGGAGCCTTCCCCTGCCGGAGGTGGACAGTTTAAAAATGGGCCACCAGAAGGAAAGAAAAAGCCTTGCTGTTATGAACTGTGGCCTGAGAACTCTCATGCTCTCTCTTTCTAGAAACTGAAGAAATCGCTCTTCATGTTGAAAGAGCTCACTAACAAATTCAGGTAAGACTTTTTCCCACTTCTGCCTGTCCAAGCCCTGCATGTGGTGGGCTGGATGGGTGGGGCCAGATTTGGGATCCAGGCAATGAAAGTAGGCGTATATGAGGGCAGTGGTGTCACTAGAGTTGGTGTCACCCAGTGCAGTAACTCACGGTGTCATTCCCCGCCCCCACCCCATGGATCTCCTCCTGTACCAGACCATGCAGAACCCTTAGTAATGTTTTTTGTACTAAAGTTACTCGTAAATCGTAATTCCCATATATCACTCTTTCTTTTCCTTTAATTACCACTTCATTCTCAAAAAAGTTATTGATACGGGTTCACAAATACTAATTCCCACAATATTGTAGCTAAAACACCAGAAAACTTGACAAAATTAGTGACTAGAAAATCACCAGCTGCAACAGAAACAATAGCGTGTGCTTAGCGCGTGCAGACGCAACCACATGACGGCACTGGAATTGGGTAATAATGACAGCTCCGACCAGAGTGCATTAGAAGGTTCAAAAAGTAAATCAGCATAGAGTTTTAGCCTTGTAGATATATTGATACATGTAAGCTGGGCTTACGAAAAATGTTTTTGTTGTTATAACTAACTGCAGGGATATTTTATAGACAGTCATTTTGGTGTTGCCCCCTCTGATAGTGTCACCCAGTGTGGTCCGCACATCCCACACCCCCCTAGTGATGCCAGTGTATAAGAGGGTCTTCTCTGAAATGTCTAGGAACAAAGAGAGCTTGGCTTTGAGGTTTGTCCTTGAGTGTGTCAAGGGTCAAGTCACATAAACCAAGTTCCTCTGACAGGTTAGCAGGCTGATTGTCAGGCAGATCATGGGAGTTGGTAATGAGGGTGGGAGCCAGGGAGGACCAGAAGGGGATGTGCACCAGAGGGTCCTGTGCACAGCTGGAGTGGGATGTCTGGGCTGGCCTGATGGCTGTAGTGCTGGGTGCTGGGTGAGGCTTGCACGGGTTGGCTCACCCTGTCTCTCTGTGTGTGTTGTCCTTGGCAGGTATGCCGTGTTTGGCCTTGGCTCCAGCACATACCCTCAGTTCTGCGCCTTTGCACATGACATTGACCAGAAGCTTTCCCACCTGGGGGCCTCTCAGCTCACCCCGACAGGGGAAGGAGATGAGCTCTGCGGGCAGGAGGAAGCCTTCCGCAACTGGGCTGTGCAAACATTCAAGGTCAGTTCACAGCCAGAGCTGCCCCACAGCCCAAACAGGGTCGTTGGGCTGCATTTGTGCCCAGCACATCTGTACCATGCATCCTGGGTAGCGTGACCTCTGCTGGTCCTGTAGACGTGGCCCCAGGTCACTGCTGCTCCGCTTAGCTGCCGCTCAGAAAAGCTCTTCCTTTAAGCATGTACCCCATGGGTTGGAAAAGGTGGCTGAGACAGAGTCCCTGCTCTTGGGGAGCGTCTGGTTTCGGGATCTTCCTCCTCTGATTATCCGAGCTGCCTCTTGACAACCTTGCATTGTTCCAGTCTCCCGGTCACAGAGAACTTGGGAACAGGGACCACACTGATAAGTTCTTTGGACCTGTATCAGCATCTCATTAGATTGTTATTGCCAAGTCTTGACCCTGCTGACTTAGAGAACTCAATCCTTAAGAAAAGAGTTGCACTCAGCAGTGGTGGTTAGAAGTCAGACAGGTCTTGTCCACATGCTTCCACATCTGGAAAATGGGAGTCATGAAACCCACCTCACAGTGTGGGCACAAGAGTAAAGTAAGCTAATGTCAGTATTAATATTCATAACAATACAGCCAGTAGGGGAAATGAAGCCTTGATACATGCTATAGTATGGATGGAGCTTGAAGACATTTTTTAAAAAATTTTTTCCCATACAAAAATTTATACATACATGGTTATATGACTCTAATTACGCTCCCCATACTGTGACAGCACACTCCTCCTTTCCACCCCCGATTCCCCATGTCCGTTCAACCAGCTCCTAACTCTCTCTGCCTTCCCATCTCACCTCCGGACAGAAGCTGCCCGTTTAGTCTCTTGTATAGAGCTTGAAGACATTATGCTGAGTGGAGTAGGCCAATCACAAAAGGACAAATACTGTATGACCTCACGTATATAAAAAGACAAGAAAAGGCAAATGTATAGAGACCAAAGTTTATTAGTGGCTACCAGGGGTGGGAGGAAGGGGGAAAAGGGGAGTCAGTGGTGATAGGAAAATCGCGTTGATTGAGGAAGATTGCACAGCTGATTATTATAATTGCTGTCAGTAAGTTATACACCTATAAAAAGTTGACTTGGCAAAAGTTGTGTGATAGATACATTTACAACAAAGACAAAAAAAAAAAATAGTAGCTGCTGAAACTGCTTATGTACAGCCAAACACTCCATGGGATTTGGTTCCTTGGTTTGGAGGTTTAGGGTCATGGTTTCATGGGACATCCCAGTTAATTGTACTAATAACTTGTTTAGTGCTTGTCTTCTACCTCCTAGTTCGTTGTGTTGTGCCTGGTGTCTTAAAAGCTTGCAAGCTGCCATCCAAGGCACAACACTTGGTCTCCAGTCACTTGGAGCAACAGAGGAAGAGAGTCAGGAGTAGGAGGAGCATATGGAATGTATGGCTAGTTGCCTCCATGTACAACTGCTCCCTTTGCCATGAGACCAGAAGAACTGGATGGTGCCCAGCTACCATTATTGAACATTTTGATCAAAGATTCCATAGAATAATCCTGATCAAAAAGAAGAAAATGCAGAACGGAATTTCAAATTCTCATGAACTGTAGACTTTCTGGAGCCATGGAGGGTGGATCTACCCCTGAAACTATTGTCCTGAGATAATCTTTAAAACTTAAACCAAAAGTATCCCCTGAAGTCTTCTTAAAACCGAACAGTAGTTCAGCTTAACTAGTAAAAAAGGTCTGCCTTGAGGATTATGCTCTTTTAAGAACTATCTACCTGGGATCAAAGTGACAACAGCAGCTCAAAAGATTAGATAGAAACCTTAGAGGGCAGTGAGTTTATGTCAGTGGGGGAGGGACAACTCAGAAAAGGAGATGTGAATGGTTACACAACTTGAAGAATATAATCAGTGTCACTAAATTATGAAACTGTTGAATCAATGTATGTTTTGCTGTGTATGTTCTCAACAAGAACAACAAAAATATTCATAACAATAGCAATAGCTACTATTTCCCAAGTCCAAGGCTAAGCATGTATGTATAAGTTACCACTTTGAGTCTTCACAATAACCCAGTAGGATAACTGTGCTCATGGTCCCTGGGCGGTACAAATAGTTAATGTGCTCAGCTGCTAACCAAAAGGTTAGCAGTTCAAGTCCACTCAGAGGCGCCTTAGAAGAAAGGCCTGGTGATCCGCTTCCCAAAAATCTGCCATTGAAAACCCTACGGAGCACAGTTCAACTGTGACACGCATGGGGTCGTCATGAGTCGGAATCAACTTGATGGCAACTGGAGGGCTTAATAAATGGTAGCCCCAGTGGTGATGATGATGATAACTATTAACACAGGTCTGCTCCATCTTCTTCCAGGCAGCATGTGAGACATTTGATATCCGGGGCAAACACCACATTCAGATCCCCAAGCTGTACACCTCCAATGAGACCTGGGACCCACACCAGTACAGGCTCGTGCAGGACTCAGAGCTTTTGGACCTCAACAAAGGTACCTGCTTCTCTGACACATGGTGCTTGTTGGCCCTTCCTGGGGTCTCTGAGCCTGTGGTCAAGTAAACCACCAGGCCCTTTGATCAGAGGCAGCTGGTCTGGGGCCTTGCATTACTCTCTCCCAAGAAGACCCTGTTGTATACAAGACTTGAGGGCTTGCTTCATCTTGAGGGGAGGCTGTTTCAGGAAGAAGCCCCAGGGGAGGGTGGCTGGAGAGAGAAAAGAGTTTGTGTCTACTGAAGGCCTACTGTGTGCCAGACACTGTGCTGAGCTCTTTGTCCACAAACTCTAAGTGAGCCCTCACACTCATCCTGAAAAGAAGGCAGACAGAGAAACTGAAGCTCAGGGAAGGGAAGCAAGTTTTCCACATCACACAGCTAGCATGTGGCCACATTAGGACTGGAGCCCCGGTCTCCCATCTCCGAAGACAAGCAAGTGTTGAAAGAAGGTTCCACGGAGGCAATTCCAGGCTTCCCTTCATGAACTCTCAGCTCTGCCCCCTGGGATCCTATGTCTCTGTGACTCCTCTTTTCTTGTACCTTGAGAACCATCCAAGGGACCTTACCATGAGAACCAAAAAACCAAAAACCAAACCCTTTGCCGTCGAGTCGATTCCAACTCACAGTGACCCTATAGGACAGAGTAGAACTGCCCCATAGGGTTTCCAAGGCTGTAATCTTTACAGAAACAGACTGCCACATCTTTCTCCCATGGAGCACCTGGTGGGTTCAAAACTGCTGGCCTTGAAGTTAGCAACCGAACGCTTAACCACTGTGCCACCAGGGCTCCTTAGCATGAGAACAGTAGTCTTATATTCCGCGCGTTTAGAATATAACTTCAAATATACTCTCCTGTGGAGCCAAAGCCATAGAGAGGCCCTGGAAATGTCCATATTTGGGCATCTAAATCCCATTTCCCAACACCTAGCAGCAGCAAGGTTAATGTTTTTCGTTAAGTTCTTTGGAGTTCCTGGGTGGTGCAAAGAGTTAATGTGCTCAGCTGCTAAGCAAAAGATTGGAGATTCAAGTCCACCCAGAAGCCCCTTGGAGAAAAGGCCTGGTGACCTACTTCCAAAAAATCAGCCATTGAAACCCTAGGAGCACAGTTCTACTCTGACACATGTGGGGTCACCGTGAGTTGGAGTGAACTTGATGGCAACTGGTTTTTTTCAGCAGCACAGTCGTCCTTTGTCAGGCCAAGGGTCTTTACATGTGATTCAGAAACAGTGGAAAAAAGGAAAGGAAAGAAAGCAGGACGCTGGAAGGGTAGTGTTCTGATAGAATTGGCTCAGACATGTGGCTGCTCCCCCACCAACGTTTAAGACCCACTTAGCCTCTCCCTGTCTCTGTCTCTCCGCAGCCCTCGGCAGCATGCATGCCAAGAACGTGTTCACCATGAAGCTCAAATCCCGGCAGAACCTACAGAGTCTGAAATCCAGGTAGGGTAGAGTACAGGCCTCCTCACGTGATTGATAGGCTTTATTTTAATGAAGACTGGAGCAGGTCAATCTTTGAAAGGAGGGGAGAGGTGTCTGCTGGCATTAACAACGATGCAATTAGTAAACCAACTCTACTGGCAGTAACATTGGGTCTGGTCTCAATTCATCATGGGCTTGTTTTCCAGCTTGGGAACTAGGCAGCTGCTTCCCTTCCTCTCCTTCCTCCTGTAACCTTTTCACCAAAAGGGGAGGGGGCAAGAGAAATGCAAACCATTCAGCTCTTTCTTGAGAGCTTTCATTGAAAGTTTTGGCGCAGGAGGAAATGTCCCCATCAGGGTAAGGGAGTGTAGAGGATTATCTGTGGGTTTATCTGTGCTGTCCTTCTCCCCCAGTCACTAGGAAAACTGGTCTCTGTTCTAATAAGAACAGCGTTGTGCTGGGGACAAGGAAAGGTTTTTCCCCAGGCCCACATATCAGCAAGTGGGATCTTTTCCCTAGGAGAGTCCAAGGCCAAGACATTGGGGAGGTCTGCTCAGGAATGTGTGGGGCCTACTCTTTACCCTCAGGGGAAGGCTCAGACCCAGCCAGCCCTGGACCCCCTTGTGCACCCCAATCCAAGCATGCCAGAGACCCAGGTTCACAGAAAGGGCACATTTCCTGGGGAAACTGGCCCACCCTCAGGGAGCCATGGAGGAAATCCTGACAGCGTCACCAGATTATTCTTTTTCCCTTCCCCAGCCGTGCCACCCTCCTGGTGGAACTCTCCTATGAGGGTAGCCAAGGCCTGAACTACCTGCCCGGAGAGCACCTTGGGGTTTTCCCAGGCAATCAGCAGGCCCTGGTTCAAGGCATCTTGGAGCGCCTAGTGGATGGACCTGCACCCCACCAACCCGTGCGCCTGGAGGTCCTCAGCAAGAACGGTGAGCCATCTGCATGGTGGCATTCTGCTGAGGCAGACCGGCAGCCCAGCAGCCCCCGCCACCCCACCTTTCCCCACCAGCCCACCCCCGCTGAGGGGCTGAGGCTGTGGACCACTGCCCTGTCCTTCCTGCTGGGTGAGGCCGGCCTGCGGACGCATGCAAACAGACCCCTCCCAATAGCTGGCCAGCTGGAAAGGGCTGCGTATTTGGGACCATCTGCCCAGCAACACAGAGGCTCGGGAATCTTTTTCCATGCCTTTCTTTCACTCACTTGGCCCCGTTTTTGTTGACTGATTCATTTATTTTTCAATCAAAATTTTAACCAGTCATATCAATATGCTAGGCAGGTCCTGGGTAAAAAAATTAAGGAGCTTCAGTGTCTGACCTCAGAGAGCTCACTACCAAGTACAGGAGACAGATGTACAGTAAGATATAGTAATAAGAATTATTATTTGTTATATTTATTTATTGGGTAGTTGTTATATGCCAGCATTTGCTGGGTAGTTGCTATAGGCTGGCATTTTCTATGTATTGTCTCTTAGTCTTCATAATAGACATGGGCATGCAGCTAGCTTGGTGCTAAAATAGAGAATTGTGGCATCCAAGTAAAATGGTGAGCTTTGAAGGTGGATGGTCATGCATCACTTCCGCGCTACGTGGCCTCGTGCGTGCGTGTGACTTAACCTCGCTAAGCCTGAATTTCTTTGTTTGTAAAATAGAGATAACAAAGCCTTCGTTGCCTTGTAGGTTTATTGTGAAGATCAAATGGGTTGATACATGGCTAGCCTTCACCACAATTTCTGACACAAACAAATGCAGGAATAGAAGAATGTCCATTTCGCACAGGCTAGTTAAAATTTAGAGTCCCTGAGTGGTGCAAACAGTTACAGTGCTCGGCTGCTAACTGGAAGATTAGAGGTTCGAGTCCACCCAGAGGTGCCTCGGAAGAAAGGCCTGGTGATCTGCTTCTGAAAGAATCAGCCATTCAAAACCCTATGGAGCACAGTTCTACTCTGACACACGTGGGGTTGCCATGAGATAGAATCAACTAAATGGCAACTGGTACTGGTGCCACCAAGGGTCTCATTTATCCCCACCTTCCCTGGGCAATGGACGGGGCAGGCCAGAGGTGACCAGGAGGAGTGTGGCTAGCTCCTGGCCATCCCCCCTCGGGAGAAGACACATGTCCTAGGGAGGGCCCAGAGCACTCTTCCCCTGTGCAAAGGCGAGACCATTCTCCACCTGGCGGAGACAGCATGGGGGTGACAGGTGCTAGGGGGCATAAGCTAATGACATCAACACATCATGGGCCTCCCAGCCTATAGGAATAGCTCCCTTATATAATGACATCTCCAAAGTATGTAGCCCCCTAAACAGGGTGTCCAACAGAGGAAAGTAGGGGTCAGAGGAGCAAAATCTGGCAGTGTCCCACACTGTCCAGGAGAACAAGAGAGCCTGAAGCTTGGGACAAAGGGGCAGGAACGTCCTCATGACTGTAGGGAGACAGACATGGTTCATCAGGCTGCAGGTCTAGGTGAAATAACAATATTAATATTTTTGCCTAACATTTTATTGAGCACCCACGCTGTTCCAGGCCCTGTACAAGTACTTTACATGCATTATTTCATTCAACGTTCATGCAAATCCAGTAAGATAGGTTTTGTTATCAGATTTCACAGAGAAGCAACCCAAGGTTCAGAGGGTTCAGTCCCACAACTAACAAGTGGGGAGCCAGATATTGAAACTGGGTCTGCTGACTCCAGAGTTCATGCTGTGACTGCCCTGCATACTGCCTTTTGGGACTCCCTGAGACTTGCCACCTCACTTTGGGCTGAGTTTATGCTCAGACATTACCTCTGGGTATAGCTCCAGCTGACTGGATTAGAGTCATGGTCCCCTGGGGTGTACATCAGTCTGTGGTGTGTTTAGTCATTGTGAGTCTGGTTCTCCTGTGGGTGTTCTGCTAAAGATCTGGTCTAGGCCAGAGAGGGGCTGGACTCTGGACCATGGCTAGATCATCAGGATCCTGTCAACTTGGGTGCTCACTGGAGGGCTGTTGACCAGCAGTCCCTGGCAGCCTGGGTACCACCTTCTTTCTATGTTTTGCTGTTCCTAGAACCAGAACCTTAGAGTCTTCTCTGCCCTGAAGCTGGGAAATGGAGGGTATCTGTCCTCAGAGACCTCGTCATCCTCCAAGAAGCCCAAATGGGGATTTTTTTCCATCCTGACTACTTCCTTCCCTTTCCAGGCAGCTACTGGGTCAGGGATAAGAGATTGCCCCCCTGCTCACTCAGCCAGGCCCTCACCTACTTCCTGGACATCACCACACCCCCAAGCCAGCTACTGCTCCAAAAGCTGGCCCAGCTGGCCACAGAAGAGGCTGAGAGACAGAGGCTAGAGGCCCTGTGCCAGGTGACGATTGGGGCTGATGCGTGGGGAAGGAGCAGGGTTGCAAAGTAGGAAGACCCAAAGCCCAGAGCTGATCTTTAACCTCCAAGGAGGATCCACCCCAGACCCCCAAAGTGAAACTTGTCAAAGACTAATGGGAAGCCAGGCACCATTTCCCATACCATCTCTAGGACACAGTTGTGTGGAGTGAACTGAATTGTTCCGTGTGTCTGCAAGATACACTTCCTCAGAAACTAGCTAGAAAAGAGTAGCCACCATGTCTTGTCTGTTTGTCTTTGTACTCCCAAGACCTGGAACAGGCCTGGAACGTAGGAAGTTTTGGAGGATGGATGGTGTGGATGAATAGATAAATCAATGTAGTGACAGATGGATGGTTGAATTAATAAATTAATGAGAGGATGAATTAACTCATCTGCAACTTTCTGGGTCCAAGTCTTTGCAAAAGGCACTGGACATCATTATCATCATAAGTATTGCTGATTAGCTTGATTGCAACCACCACCACAACCATTATTCTGTGGCTGCACTATACTAACTTGACATACATTTTCTCATTTAATTCTCGCAACATCCTCATGAGGTAGGCAATACTATCCTCATTTCACAAAGACTAATTAATTGGAACAAGTTTCCACAGCTAGTAAGGGCATCCAGCCGAGATTTGAACCCGGGTCTGTATGATTCCACAGTTCTGACCCAAATTAGATGATACAGAGATATAGAGATTTAACCTTTGCCCACACTAGTTACTGACAGTGACGTTCTAAGCACACAAGTTAGATAAATGCTGCTGTTTGGACTGAGTTCCCAGAGAGTAAGAGCTATATGCCTTCCAGCTTAGTTGTCTCAGCACCCTGGACAGCATCTGGCACATTGATGTGTTTGTTCAGTGCGTGAAAGAATGCAAGAATACTGGATGGCAGCTTCCTCCCCCAGTGTGGGGCAGGCGCCTGGGTCGCTCACACTGCCCTTGGCTTTCAGCCCTCAGAGTACAGCAAGTGGAAGTTCACCAACAGCCCTACGTTCCTGGAAGTGCTTGAGGAGTTCCCATCCCTGCGGGTATCTGCTGGCTTCCTACTCTCCCAGCTCCCCACTCTGAAACCCCGGTACTACTCCATCAGCTCCTCCCGGGACCATACCCCCACAGAAGTCCACCTCACTGTTGCCGTGGTCACATACCGCACCCGAGGTGAGTGCTGGGCCAGAGGCTTTGGAGCAGTCCCACCCAGGTTCAAATCACAACTCTGCTACTTCCTGGGCAGCTATTCAATATCCCTGAGCTTCAGTCTCCTCATGAGTTAAACAGGAGCAGGAATACTCTCCTCCTAAAGCTGTTGGCACAGTGGTTAAGCATTTGACTGCTAACCAAAAGGTCGGCAGTTCAAATCCACCAGCTGCTCTTGGAAACCCTATGGGGCAGTTCTACTCTCTTCTATAGGGTCACTATGAGTTGGAATCGACTCGATGGCAATGGGCTGTTTTGTTTGTTTTAGAGCTGTTAATAATAGTAGGTGGTGTGCAGGAGAGATTACTATGAACCAGGCACTCAGCTAAGCCCTTTGCAGATGTATGATCAGCAGCTCAATGAGATGGGTACTGTGTGCATTACACAGATGAGGAAACTGAGGCACAGAGAGGTTAAGCCACTAGTTCAAGGTTACATTTTAGTAAGTAGAGAGCTGAGATTATAACCCTAAACGTCTGACTCCCGTGTCCAAGTTCTTAACCACCCTACTCTATCTGCTCTACTGTTGGGAGAAGTTAATGAGATCACACATGGAAAGCACCTGATACTTAGCAGGAGCCTGAGGATTCTTAGTCTTCCTGATAGTCCAGCCTGGGTGATGCTGCATCAGCTGTTCATTCATTCACTCGTTTGTTCAGCAGTGATTTATTTCACACCACTCTCTGCTTGGCCCTGTGGTGGCTATGGTGGGTGTGGAAAGACAGCAGACATAGCCCCTGCCCTCGTGGGGCTTCCATTCTGAAGGGGCCAATGGAGAGATACTCCTAGAAATAATTAGATATTTATCATTAGGTAGGTTCTAAGAAGGAAAGCACAGGGGCTATGAAGCCAGAGAATGGGGGTGAGACTGTCATAGACCAGGAGGTCCAGACTCTTGTCCAATTGACCTTGGCTCCTCACTGAATGAACTGTGCCCCTGCCACGCCCACTGTAACTGAACGTTGCCTGGGTTGGCAAAGCTGGGGGGCTGGCCCACACCTCAGTAACCCTTTGTGCTCTGGGAAACACAATCACAGTTTCTAAAAACTGGGAAGACTCTCTTTATCTGCTGGGCTGGGAACACCCACACTGGTAAGTGTCAATCCTCAGACCGGGTGTAGAGAGGCAGGCGTGTCTTGCAAGAACAAGATTCAGCCCAGAAGAAAACCAGAAAGACTTCTCAAGTTGGTTGGGGGTTTCCTTTAAGTGCTGAACCATTGGGAAGGGAATGTAACCCAGCTAAAGCTGGGGTTTCCACAAGCCCAGGAGGAGCTGCTGGGGGAGAAAGTGAGCCGTCAAAGCAGACTGGAATGCAGGAGGTTGTCCATTCGTCCATCACCCAGTGCTCTGACCAGCAAGGGCGACACTGGTGGGGACACTCAGGGTTCGTGACTGTGGTTAGTCCTGAGGAGCTACTTCCTGCTGCTATCAGCAGGGTTGAGTTATGGGCTGGGAGGATCCCTGAAGAAATTCTTTTGGAAAGAGCACTGGAGTAGGAGTCAAGGAACCTGAACTCTCAACCTGATTCTGCCATCGTCTGAGTAACCTTGTACAAGTCACTTTCCCTCCCTGAGACTCAGTTTCTACATCAGCAAAGGGAGTGGTTTGCTGAGACACGAAGTCCCTCCCAGCTCTCACTGGCTCTGAGTGTGTAGAGGGTAGATCTCAGACCCAGAAGGAAAACAGTGTAGCTCCCTCCTCCATGAAGCCCTCTGAGGGCCTAAGTGGGGCAGTTGGAGGAGGTATATCGGTGTGGGAGGGGCAGCTGGTACAGTTCATGCATGGGCAGTGGGAGGGACTGATGGTCAGGTTTGTGTCTGCCCTTGCAGATGGCCAGGGTCCCCTGCACCATGGCGTCTGCAGCACTTGGCTCAGCAACCTGAAGCCCCAAGATGCAGTGCCCTGCTTTTTGCGCAGGTAAGCTCCACCCCTGTTCTGTCCCCTGTAGGACCACTGGCCCCTGAGAGTTCTGAGGTGAAAGGATCTGGAGTTTGGGTGCCCCCGGCCCATACAGAAGGCACTGGGGTCACACTCGACGTCTCCAGTCTGCTCCCGGGCTGTAGAGTGTGACTCAGTCTCTAACAGGATTAGCAGTGGAGGCAGGGGTGGTAGGCTGAGTATCATGAGGTCAAAAGACCTCAGGAGGAGGTGATGGCTGGCTTCAGAAGGATAAACGAAGCAGCTTTCAAGACTCTGGAAATCAAATTTGAGCTCACTGTCCTCTCCATCTGCCCCCCAACACTACCTCCCCAAAACCATACACCCAGCTCTGCAGCCCCTGAGCTGTGTGTGCACCTGGCCCAGGGGTCTGAGAACTGGGCCTCTCTCCCTTCATCCCTTTTAGTGCCAGTGGCTTCCAGCTCCCTGAGGACCCCTTCCAGCCTTGCATCCTCATCGGGCCTGGTACGGGCATTGCCCCCTTCCGCAGTTTCTGGCAGCAACGGCTCCATGACATCGAGCACAAAGGTACAGCTCTCAAGCCTCCCAGATCGGGAGGGGACACAGGGTGGCCAGTGCCTTCCTGGGAGTAGAAATGGAACCAAGAGCAATTTGTGCCACCACCCCACAAATGTTTCCTGGCCCCTCTTCCAAGTGAAGACCTCTTGGGTTTGCCTCAGCTCATGTAGGCCCCTGTGGAGTTAGAATTTCTGTCTTCCTTTGTCTTCCACATACAGCCAGCCAGGGCTCTTTCTCCAGGCAGGCGGCAGGGGTGATGAGAAAAGTCCCAGCTTTTGAATTCTGATGAGCTGAGCTGGAATACTGTCTCTGTGTCACTATGGGCGAGTTATCTGAAAGCTCTGGGCCTCAGTTTCCTCATCTGTGAAATGGGGATAATACTAGCTAGGAAACTACTAGATAAACCGCTTGCTGTCCAGTCGACTCTGACTCATGGCAACCCCATATGTACAAAATAGAACTGCACTCCATAGGGTTTTCAAGACTTTGACCTTTTGGAAGTGGATTGCCAGGCCTTTCTTCTGAGGCACCTCCGAGTGGGTTTGAATCGCCAACTTTTTGATTAGTAGTCGAGCACAAACCTTTTGCACCACCCAGAGACTCCTGCTACTAGATGGGATAGGGTAATGTGTGGATGAGATGAGAATGGGAGTTGGGCGCCCAGCATGGTCAGGCCGTGAGCCACGGCCCGCCCTCTGGTGGCCATCCTGGTAACTACATCTGCGGGATTTTGCAGGGCTCCAGAGAGGCCGTATGACCCTGGTGTTTGGCTGCCGCCACCCGGATGAGGACCACATCTATCGGGAGGAGACGCTGGAGATGGCCCGGAGGGGCGTGCTGCATGAAGTGCACACAGCCTATTCTCGCCTGCCTGGCCAGCCCAAGGTAAATGCAGCAGCTGCCTGCTCAGCGGGTAGAACAGAAAAAGCACAGACCCCAGCTGTGCCCTGGCCCCACAGGAGCCCCTTCACCTCTCTGAAGCTCCATCTTCTCAGCTCTGAAATGGGGTAATTACAGAAGCATCAGAGTGATGCTGTGAAGATCCTTATGTCTGCCTTTCCAGGAGAAGAGACAGGTCAGAGAGGTTGGAGACTTAAAGGGTCACACGGGGAGCTCAGCCCCAGCGTCCAGCGTGTTGCCCCAGATCCTCATCAGCTCCCCTGGAATACATGACTGCCAGGGGAGAGGCAGTCCAGGCCAGCTTCCTGCTCAGACAAGGCAAGTGGGTGGGGGCAGCACTGCTCCCACCCCGGCCCCTGGACAGGCTCCTGCCCTGTGGAGTGTTTGCCCGCTGAGCCTGGGGAATTGGAGCAGATTCTCGGCTCAGCCCTACATGAACGAGTCTGTCAGGGCTCCTGTTGGTCCCAGAGCCGGTGCCCTGTGCTGGGATCACCAGGTGTGGGACAAGAGCAGAGAGTCCCCGACTGACCCCTGTACCTTCTGTGTAATGGGAGCCTGGGGCTCTGTGCCCCTACTCCCAATAAGCTCAGGGATCCAATCCCATGGCCATTCTACATTGAGAGACCCCCTCTTCTTTTTGGGGGAATGTAGGCAGGTTGCCCTTAGAGCCTGGGTGGGGGAACTGGCTCGACTGATCATCTTTGAAGCATGGTGAATTCAGAGAAAGCTGGGAGCTCCCCAGGGCTTCAGCTCCTTGAAGGCAGGACTATGTGCAATGCTCATCTCTGCACCCCCAGCCCCCTCCTGGGCCTAGGCCAGGCAGGATGTCAGTGCACCTCCTCATCCTGAGCCTGGTCCCAGTGCAGAGTCCTGTCTGGGAGGGCAGCTCACCCAGCAGCCTTAATGCCCCCTCACTCGTCTCTGAGGCCAGCAGCTGCTGCTGCACACCCTCTCCTAGTAGCAGGGACTCAGCTCTTGTGGGCTGGACACAACTTCTACTCTGGTTTCAGGTCTACGTTCAAGACATCCTGCGGCAGCAGCTGGCTAGCGAGGTGCTCCGTGTACTCCACAAAGAGCAGGGCCACCTCTACGTCTGTGGGGATGTGCGCATGGCCCGGGACTTGGCACACACCCTGAAACAGCTGGTGGCTGCCAAGCTGAGCCTGAACGAGGAGCAGGTTGAGGACTATTTCTTCCAGCTCAAGGTATGGCAGCTGGTGTGTGGGCTGATAGTGCAGGGCCAAGGGAGCCAGGACCATGAAACCAGGATCAGGGAGTCACGTGTTATCAGGGTACCAGACAGGGAAATGAGTGGATGAAATGAGAATGGGAGTTGGGCGCCCAGCATGGTCAGGACCTGGGCCATGGCCCGCCCTCTGGTGGCCATCATGGTAACTGCAGCCTGCTGGGTCTTGCAGGGCTCCAGATCCCTGAACGTCCATCTCCTCAGTTCTAAAATGAGGTAATTACACAGGATCAGGTAATCAGCCAGGATCAGGGAGTCAGGGCCAGGGGATCCAGGATCAGGGAGTCAGGGCTAGGGGAGCCAGGGCCAAGGGATCCAGGATCAGGGAGTCAGGGCCAGGGGATCCAGGATCAGGGAGTCAGGGCTAGGGGAACCAGGGCCAAGGGAGCCAGGATCAGGGAGTCAGGGCCAAGGGAGCCAGAACTGGGGAACCAGGATCAGGGAGTCAGGGCCAGGGGAGCCAGGATCAGGGAGTCAGGGCCAGGGGAGCCAGGATCAGGGAGTCAGGTCCAGGGGAGCCAGAATCAGAGAGCTAGGGACAGGGGAGCCAGGATCAAGGAGCCAGGATCAGGGAGTCAGGATCAGGGAGTCAGGATCAGGGAGTCAGGGCCAGGGCAGCCAGGATCAGGGAGCTAGGACCGAGGGAGCCAGGCGCAGAGTCCTGCACCCCAGAGGAATCCTAGAGGTGGCTGGTGTTCAGAGCTGGGTGGGCTGTTAGGAGGCCTGACTGAACAGCTGGTCTGGTTGCCAACTAACTTTGAGAAGTCAAGTGGATGTTTTTATTTCTCCTGTAGAATGGGAGCAGAGTCCCCTGGCCTCTTCCCAAGACCCACTTTCAGAAAGTAACTGTGTAGCCAAGGGCTCCCCAGAAGGCAGGGCTGTGAACACCAGGGACAGGAAGGCCATCCCCTCTGCCAGCCTCTTGTGAGCTTCACACTTGTTATTTATTCGCAGGTAGGGGTCTCTTCACCCCTATCCCAACCAGCACCCTGTAAGGGTGCAGGGAAGGAAATGCATTTTAACAATGATAATAGTAGTGGTTGTTGTCCACGGCTTACACTGGCCCAGGCACTTTGCCAATGATTTTCATGCGGCATTTCACTCAGGCTGAGGGAGCATTATTCTCCCCACTTTACAGAGAGGAAAGGGGGCTTTACGAGGTCCCACAGTCGTGAGTGTGCGAGCCTAGAGTTCAGCCTGCTTCTCTCTGGTTCGAAAGCCTGCTTGTCACTTCTGTATCCCTAAGTCACATTCATTCATTCAACTGATATTTATTGAACACCTACTGTGTGCTGCAGATAGCACGAATGAGCAAAAATTCTTACCTAGGTGGAGCCTACATTCTAGTGGGGTTGACAAATAAGAAACAAAGCAAGAAAAATGTACAGCACTTGGAGGAAATTTAACCCAGGAAGCGGGACAGGGTGAGGTGAGGGGTGTACTTTTAAATAGGGTGGTTGGGGAAGGTGCCACAGAGAAGGTGATATTTGAGAAAAAAGCCCGAAGGAGATGAGGAGTAAGTCCTGTGAATATTGAAGGAAACAGAGTTCCAGGCTGTTGAGGCGGGAACAGCAGGTGCAAAGGCCCTGAGGGGGGAGTTAATCTGGCATGATTGAAGTTCGGCGCGGAGATCACAGGCATTTCCTAAAATGTGTTCAGTGGATTAATAGGTGTTTAGCATTAAAAAAAGTTCCAAGATCAAGTAAGTTTGAGAGGTACAAAAGTAAACGTGTTTCTTTACTACAAGACTTCTCAGAGCCTTTCATATGCTACTGTGCATGTAACACTGCAAAACTGGGAGACAGCTCACAGGATTTCCCAAACGTATTTGATCTCAGAGCTCTCATTTCCTGAGACATCTTGTGGGGCCGGTCCTAGGGAGGAAATGAGAAATGACATCCATTGTAAAGCCTGAGGAGATGTTTTGATGGTCTCCCCAGAGCAGACGCTGACAGAGATTATAAGGGTCTAAATCAAATTCAAGTATATCTAAGCATGACAGTTGGGAATGAATGGCTCATGAATGAATGCGTGATGGGGAAGTGGGGGCAATCCCAGGTGCTCATTCCAGCCCAGACCTGATGAATGAAAGATGGCTAGACCAGCAAAGCTGACCCACGGTCTCTGTTTTTCCCTTCAAGAGCCAGAAGCGCTATCATGAAGATATCTTTGGGGCTGTATTTCCCTATGAGGTGAAAAAGGACACGGTGGTGGGCCAGCCCAGCGATCCCAGAGCTCCGATGACCCACGGGACAAGTTAAAGCCACTGGCACAGGGTCAGGGGAGATGGAGGAAAACAGTAACCCCCAAGCTTCACATCTCATTACCTTACCTCCTTCCTTCCCAAGCCCTTCACTTGACCTGCTACCAAGTAGCAGCCTGGACTGGTTGGAGCCTTCTCTTTCCCTTGATCCCGCCCATCCCCAGATAACGGAGAATTGGGGCCTCCTTGGTCCCTTTGAGACAACCTACAATGCCCTGCCTGGCAAGTGCGTGAGAGAAGAATGGAACCTTCTTCTGACTCCACCACTTCAAATGTCCGCCAGGAGGCACTATCTGCCCACTTTGTATTTAGCTGCCCTGTGTACAGTTATTTATGCCTCTGTATTTAAAAAAAAAAAGAAAAAAAAACCCAGTCTGCTCCCGAGGGCCACTTGGGCCTTTTCTGTATGGTTCCTTGATGGAAATATTTATATAAAATGCATTTTATTTTAACCACACAATGTGTGTGTGTGTGTGTATGTTGGTCTTTTGTAGAGAAAGAGGTCCTAGTTGTATAGAGTAGAGGTGCCACAGCCTGAACAGAGAGCCCCCACAAAGGGACATATCTACCTGGTCGTGGCTGCATCTCTGAAAGGGCCCCCAGGTACAGAGGCAGCAGATGGAAAACTGTGGGGGTGGAGAAGGGGACACAGGCTTGCCTCTGGGGGATACGAGCTGTGCCTCTCGCAGAAACCAAACCAAACCCCTTGCTGTCAAGTGGATTCCATCTCACAGAGACCCTATAGGACAGAGTAGAACTGCTCCCATAAAGTTGCCTGTCACAGAGAGCTTCTTAAACTTCTTACGCGTGAGTGTGGCGAAGGCAGGGATTCTGTGTATGATGCCAGTTCCTTAGGGAAGGCCTTGACCACAGCCTGGCTTAGAAAGTCATCGTATTTTCCTCTGGGGCCACCAGTCTCACGAGAGTTTGGCCAGTAAGACAGGTAAGGTCTGTCTTCATGTTGAGGGTGTGGGTATGAAAAGAAGGGCACATGTCTTCCACATCCAAGAGATGCAGGCTCTTTCTGGGGGAGAAAGCTTCTGAAGGGACTGAGCCATGTGTCCTTCTAATCAGAACCAAGGAAGGAACTCAGCCAGGGGCCAACTGGGGGGCTGGCAAGATCTGGAGGAAGCTCCAGCTCCCTCCCTCACTTCTCACCTCCTTCCCTACTCTCCTCCCACTTCTCACAACAGCTACTCCATTGGGGTGGGGAGGGGTGGGGGCCAGGGGCATGCCAACCTCTGAATGAGCAGGGCAGCCTCTGGTGAGACAGGGAAGCTCTGTGCCCTAAACAGCAGCAGAGTCCTGGACAGTGAGTCCCTGGAGGTCCCATGTTACAATGCAGCCTCAGATTTAGTGGGTCTGGGGTGGGACCCAAGATTGCATTTCTAGCCAGCTCCCAGAGAATGCCATTGCTGCTGATCCAGGACTGCACTTTGAGCCCTGCTCCTTGATTCCTTGAGAGACTGGATACTTGATGGAGTTAGCAGGATGTGGGGTATCATGAACACAGAGCTGGGTGCCCTGGCCCAGTGGCTGGCAGACTCCAACCCTGAAGCACTCTCGCTACGTACACCTTGACCCCTAATGATGGGGAGACACACCCCAGGACACACTCAAGCCTCTCCTCAGATGTACAAAACCTGAGAGGTTTCATCAGCAGCAGATAACCACCACAAAAAAGTTGAAGAAAGTCCTTTAAGCAGAAAAATGTAGTTCCGGGAGACCAGTGTAATTGGGGCAGAAAAAAAAAAAAGACAAAATCGTGGTCAGAGATTTTCCAAATCTGATGAAAAATATAAACTCACAGTTCCAAGAATCTCAGTGAATCCAAGCACAAAGAAAAACTCAAAGAAAACCTCACCAAGACACATTATCATCAAATTGCTGAACGTCAATGATCAAAAGAGGAAAAAACATCTTAAAATCAGCCAGAGACTTCTGGGAAGATGAAGGATATGTATTTTCTCTATTCCTCGTGCTAAATACAACTAAAAGCCCTGGACGTTACATATGAAACAACCATGCAAAGCTCTGAAAGGTGGAAAAAAGAAGGCAGACTGTCCAAGGACCTCAGGACCCAAGAAACAACATGGTGGCAAGTTCCCTGCATTTTCTTTGTGCCTCATATATCGCAGACGTGTAGCTGAAGAAGCTGGCAACCCAGAAATGCTAATGAGTATAGACACGAAAAGCTTGCTTGTTCTGGCTAAAGGACCAGGGAAGGGGCAGCACAGCAAATCAGAAACTTTCTGTGGTCCCTGCCCCACCCATGTCCACAAAGGCTGAGGGTGAAGCCTAGACTTCAGTCTTGCCAGGTTGTAAGGAGGTGCCCCCAAACCCCCTCACCCCTGCCGAGGTGACTTCAGAGAAAGTTGAGTAGGGGGCTGGAAATTACATCCCTGCCTCGTGGTAACAAACTCCTCCCTGTGCAGTGTCAGTGGACACCACATGGCGAGCCTAGACTTCCACTCCCACCCAGAACTAACAAGACACCCTCCTGCTTCCTGCTGGGGTGGTGCCATAGCAGGCTTAGTGGGGAGTTAGGACTATTACACCGCCTCCACCGGTGGTGTCAATGAAGGCCAGGCGGGGAGCAGTAACAAAGCACTCCTACCACTACCAGCCAAGAGGCCTAGTGGGGAGCCAGAACACCCACCTGTGCCCAGCAATCATGAGGAGCCTTTTCAGGTGTCAGCAGAGGGCAAGTGAGAAACTGGACTTTCCAAATGGAAACAGTCCACAGGCCCATCAAAATGAAAATGAGGAGTTTACAAGAGACACATTTCAGATTCAAAGACACAGATAGATTGAAACTGAAAGAATGGAAAAAGAACATTCCATGCAAATAGTAAACAAAAGAGAGCTTGGATGGCTATATTAATACCAGCCAAAACAGACTTTCAGTCAAGCTATTGTTGTTAGGTTCTATCGAGTGGATTCCAACTCATAGCGATCCTATGTACAACAGAAGGAAACACTGCCCAGTCTTGTGCCATCCTCCCAATCACTGTTATGCTTGAGCCCATTGTTGCAGCCACTGTGTCAATCTATCTCGTCAAAGGTCTTCCTCTTCTTCACTGACCCTCTACCAAGCATGATGTCGTTCTCCAAGGACCGGTCCCTCCTGATAACATGTCCAAAGTATGTGAGATGAAGTCTCGCCATCCTTGCTTCTAAGGAGCATTCTGGCTGTACTTCTTCCAAGAAAGATTTGTTCATTTTTCTGGCAGTCCATAATAATATTCAGTATTCTTCGCCAACAGCATAATTAAAAGGCATCAATTCTTCTTCAGGCTTCCTTATTCATTGTTCAGCTTTTGCATGCATATGAGGTGATTGAAAACACCATGGCTTGGGTGAGGCGCATCTTAGTCCTTAAAATGACATCCTTGCTTTTGAACACTTTAAAGAGGTCTTTTGCAGCAGATTTGCCCAATGAAATGCATCTTTTGATTTCTTGACTGCTGCTTCCATGGGTGTTTATTGTGGATCCAAGTCAAATTAAATCCTTGACAACGTCATTCTTTTCTCCATTTATTATGATGTTGCTTATTGGTCCAGTTGTGAGGCTTTTGTTTTCTTTATGTTGAGGTGTAATCCATACTGAAGGCTGTAGTCTTTGATCTTCATCAGTAAGTGCTTCAAGTCCTCTTCACTTTCAGCAAGCAAGGTTGTATCACCTGCATATTGCAGGTTGTTAATAAGTCTTCCTCCAATCCTGATGTCACCTTCTTCTTCGTATAGTCCAACTTCTCAGATTATTTGCTCAGCATACAGATTGAATAATTATGGTGACAGGATACAACCCTGATGCACATCTTTCTTGACTTTAAACCTCTCAGTATCCCCTTGTTGTATTCAAACGACTGCTTCTTGATCTACGTACAGGTTCCTCATAAGCACAATTAAATGTTCTGGAATTCTCATTCTTTGCAGTGTTATCCATAATTTGTTATGACCCACACATAAGCTTTGCATAGTCAGTAAAACACAGGAAAACATCTTTCTGGTATTCTCTGCTTTCAGCCATGATCCATCTGACATCAGCAATGATATCCCTTCATCCACGTCCTCTTCTGAATCCAGCTTGAATTTCAGACAGTTCCCTGTCAAAGTACTGCTGCAACCATTTTTAAATAATCTTCAGCAAAATTTTACTTGTGTGTGATATTAATTACATTGTTTGATAATTTCCTCGTTCTTTTGGATCACTTTTCTTTCAAATGGGTACAAATATGGATCTCTTCCAGTCGGTTGACCAGGTAGCTGTCTTCCTAATTTCTTGGCATAGATGAGTGAGCGCTTCCAGTGCTGCCTGTGTTTGTTGAAACATCTCAATTGGCGTCTTAGTCATCTAGGGCTGCTATAACAGAAATAGCACAAGTGGATGGCTTCAACAAACAGAAGTTCATTCTCTCACAGTCTAGTGGGCTAGAGGTCCAAATTCAGGGCACCAGCTTCAGGGGAAGGCTTTCTCTCTCTGTCAGCTCTGGAGGAAGGTCCTTGTTCTCAATCTTCCCCTGGACTAGGAGCTTCTCCGTGCTGGAACCAAGGGTCCAAAGACACGTTCTGCTCCTGGCACTGCTTTCTTGGTGGTATGAGGTCCCCTCCAGCATCTCTCTGCTCGCTTATCTCCTTTATATCTCAAAACAGATTGGCTTAAGACACAATCTAATCTTGTAGATTCAGTCCTGCCTCATTAATATAACTTCAGCTTGAACTTGCATATGAGCAATTGATGGTCTGTTCCACAGTTGGCCTCTGGCCTTGTTCTGACTAATGATATCGAGCTTTTCCATCTTATCTTTCCACAGATGTAGTCGATTTGATTCCTGTGTTTTCCATCTGGTGAGGTACATGTGTATAGTTGTTGTTTATGTTGTTGAAAAAAGGTATTTGCAATGAAGAAGTCATTGATCTTGCAAAATTCTATCATGCAATCTCGGGCCCTGTTTCTACTACCAAGGCCATGTTTTCCATCTACAAATCCTTCTTCTAAATTTCCAACTTTCACATTCCAAAAACCAGTAATTATCAATGTATCTTGATTGCATGTTTGATCAATTTCAGACTGCAGAAGTCAAGCTAGAGAGAAAGAAAGAAGGATATTTTCTAATGATAAAAGGGCCAATTCATCAAAAAGATATAACAATGACAAATGTATGTGCACTTAACAAAGGAGCCTGGGGTGGCACAAGCAGTTTGCAATCGACTGCAAACCCAAAGGTTGGTGGTTTGAACCCACCCAGTTGTGCTGTGGAATAAAGTCTGGGTGAACTGATACTTTAAAAATTACAACCAAGAAAACCCTACGGAGCAGTTCTACTCTGTAACACGTGGGGGTTTCAGTGAAGACTGAGAA